TACTGGTGCCTTTTCTTTTAGCACATAGACATAAGTTTTGACATTTATGAGCCACCATATCAGAAATCCTTCTGCTGTGGGACAGGGATGGTACTTCAACATAATTGTATGTGAGAAGGGCCAGGCTTAACTTATGAGTGTTTGGGAAGATTCAAATATAACATGAGTCAAGCTTATAAAAACCCTGTTTTCCCATGTTCTTTTTTTTTTTTTTTAATCTTTTTAATCCTCATCTGAGGATATTTTTCCATTTATCTTCAGATAGAGTGGGGGAGAGGTAGAGGAACATCGATGTGAGAGAGACATATCGACCGGTTGCCTCCCACATGACCCTAACCAGGGCTAGGGACCAAACTGCAACCGACGTACATGCCCTTGACCAAAATTGAACCTGCAACTGGTCCACAGGCCGACGCTCTAACCACCTAGCCAAACCACCCAGGGCTCCCCATGTTCTTTTCATTTGTTTACTCAATGATGCAATAAATAAGATACTGATCATTGCCCTTGCTGGTTTGGCTCAGCGGTTAGAGTGTCAGCCTGTGGTCCAGAGAGACCCGGGTTTGGTTCCCGCTAAGAGCACGTACCTCAGTTGCAGTTTGTCCCCAGCCCTGGTTGGGTCGTGCAGGTGGCGACCACTCGATGTGTCCCTTTCACGTCGATGTTTCTCTCTCTCTCTCTCTCACCCTCTCCCCCCCCCAAATGAAGAAAAAAATGTCCTCAGGTGAGGATTTAAAAAAAAAGACACTGATCACATATGATGTACTAGATATGCGGTAGGTGCTGGGATACAATCAGGAACAAGAGAGTCAACATCCTTGCTGCCGTGGAATTTACAACAACTGCAAAAGTCAGAAAACAAACACTGATACGATGTCAAGTGCTATGAAGAACACTAGAGCCAGTTAAGGGAACAGAGTGGGGTTGGAGGGGCTGGAATAGAGAAACTAGAATAGTCAGGGAAGACTCTCTGAGGAGGTATTAGAGTATGACCTGACTAAAGTGAAGAAGTAAACCATGTGATGATCAGGGGGAAGAGCATTCCAGGAGAGGGAACAGCAAGTGCAAAGGCACAGAGGTAGGAAGAAACTGTGTTTGAGGAATTAGACATTAGACCTCTAAGACTCAAGCAGAGTGAGCTAGAGGGAGAGTAGAAATAGGTTAAGTCAGAGTAATCAAGTGCCAGATCTAAGGTCTTGTAGACCATGGTGAGGATCTTGTCTTTCTAAGCCCCCAGCAATCTGCAGATGGGCCACATTACCGCAGAGGTGGATGCTGATGGAAATGACAGAACTTAGATGTTATAGGGGTGAGGGGATAACTGCAGAAGCAAAATTTCTGAGCAGGTGAGAGGAGATAGACTCTAGGGTACACCTGCTGGGTTGTCCTTTCAGAGGATCAGAGAAGGTGCCTTGATGGTAACAGGAGAGTAGGCAGAGCGCTCAGGTACTGATGCAGGTAGACGGGTGGATTCGGCAACGAGAAGAGGAGATGGTTTTCTCGTTTTGTGTTATTTATGTCAGAGAAATAAGAAAGCCATCAACTGAGTGAGGAGCTGAAGGAGGAAGAGAGAAGATTTGAGACACCCTCTGGGTGAGAGAGTAAATTGGCCAGGGGGATGGGCAGGATTGTCTCAGGGAGGACCCACTTGAGCCAGAAGGGTTCTGTATTTCTCTCTGGCCCCAGTCCATCGCTGTGCCTGTGTGTGGACCAGGCCGTGAGTGAGAGTTCAGCACAGTTGAGATTTTCCAGGTGAGTAGATGGAAAGAGAAGGGGGCATGGGGTTTGAGGGTGAGCGCAGGGAATGATTTTAGAGAAGACCAGGGTTCTGAGCTGGGGAAGGAGGGAAGTGAGGCCACAAAGGGGATGACAAACTACACAAATGTGGGAGGCCAGTGGATTAGAGAACTGGGAGGGTATTTCGATGCACTCCAGTTTCAGATATGATTTTAGAGGAACTCAAACTACTACATTCACTCACACAGTAAGTACTTATTGAGGACCTGCTATACTTTTTTAAATTGCCTACAATTTATTGAGCACTTATTCTGTGCCAGGCATTGTGCTAAATGTTCCTTTACTGTATCTCATCTAATTTTCACAACAATGCATTAAAGTCAGTACTGTTATTGTCCTGACTGTACAGATGAGGAGACTTGAGGTTCAGAGAGATCTAGTAACTTTCATAAGAATGCACAGCTGGTAAGTAGCAGAGAGCTCTGTATGATTACAAGGCCCAAGCTGTGCTGCGTTTGTGCAATCATGAAATTCAGATTCAGGTAATTCTCCTGCTTGATCCCAACCTGAAAACAGGGCACCTGGCCTCAGTTGCCCAGGGGTAGAAGCTGGGAGTGGAAGTAGAGGGATCTGGAATTCTCTGGTGTCCTGTCTTGATGGAAGTGTCAATCAAGTGCCCACCCTCCTTAGCTTAGGGGAAGACTTGTTACCTGAACTCAGCCAATTGGACTCTTGTGCCAGGACTTCAACATTGATCAAAGAAAGATCAATAAAGGGGAGAAAAAGGTGGAACTAATCCATTTTGTCCATCTAAACACTCAAAGCATCTCCAGTCTCTGTTCTTTTCTACGCCTGGTTCTCCAGCTTCCTGCCACCTCTGTGAATTCACCACTTGCCTGCCAATAAACTCCTTTCCTGCTCAAGTTAGCCAGAATTGGTTCTGACTTGCAGTTTAAGAATCGGCACTGGCATATCAGGAACAAAACAACAGAACGAAGTATTGTAAAGCTAAAGGGAATGATTTGTTCCTGTTATAAACTATACACCGAGCAGGGCCAGGACTAGGGCGAGACACCGCAGACACAAGATTCAGGGAGGCTTTTACTCTCAGAGCTGTGTGAGTGCAGGGCTGGCTCTAAGGAGCAGGTGCCTCCCTCCGAAAAAAAAAAAGGCAGTGGCTTAAAGAACAAAGATTCCTTCTCTCTCACAGAAGGGCGTGAAGTGCTCCATGCAATCATTCTGGGAGGGACGCTGGCACCTTCTAGCTGTGGCCCTCTCCTCCCCCAGAACATCCTCATCATCATAAGGTTAAGGCTGGGCCTAGCCAGGGAGAAGCAGGGAGGAGGCAGGCCCTCTGACTAAGGGCCGTGCCTGAAGTTTCACCCATCATGTCCGCTGGCGAGGACTTCGTTACTCACTGCAAGGGAGACTGGGAAGTGAACACAAACTGAGCAGCCACGTGACTGTGGAAGGCAGGGAGAAGGTGGACAGTTAGGTTCCACTGCAGTCACGGCCCGCAGGGAACCTATTTGCCAGCCGATTCTATTGTCTGTGATATTAAAGGCTGCGAGGTATAAGTACGATGGGGAGAGGTGTTCATGGGCTGGCGTACTGTGGGAGAATGTGCCTGAGGAGTAACCCCTGGGCTGGGAAAAAGGTAAAATGAGCACGGCCAGTCGTCCCGCCAGGGGACAGGGAGGAGATCTGCTGGACCCAAGTAGAGAGCGCTCATGTAATCTCACAACACACTGTGGGAGACAGAGGATGTGGGATGAGGAAAGCTGGATCTGACTTCCGGTTCCTGGGTTAACCTCGGGTCAGTCCTTAACCTTGACATGCCTTAGATTGCTCCTTTGTGAAATGATAAGGATGATAACAGCATCATCAACAATGATAATACATTAATAAGAAACAATGGCAGTACAAAAAGTAACAATGTGGATGTGAGGATCCCGCAAAGCCATGGTCTATGAAAGGCTTTGGTATGCAGCAAAGTGTAGAGCAGGGGCCGGCAAACTACCGCCACAGGCCACCACCCATGTTGTAAATAAAAGTTGCAATAGAACGTAATCATTTGTTCCTGTAGTGTCTGTGGCTGCTCTCACACTACAAAAACACAGTTGGGTGGTTGTGACAGGGATCATGTGACCAAAAGTATTTCCTCTCTGGACCTTTATGGACAATTTTCGGCAAGGACTGTAGTGATGTCAGCTATTACTGAGCCTCAACTTCCTTGGACATTATTTTATGCACTAGTAAAACATGACTAACAAAAATCATCTTCAATTCCAAGATGCTTTGAGGACCAAATGAAACAACATATGTAAAACTGCTTTGCAGGCTGTTAAGTGCCATATAAATGGCAGTCATGATTTAGTTCCTTTGCTGAGTATCAGTTGCATGATTTAGTCTCTGCTGAGCATCTGTAAAACAGACAACCACAGACCTCCCTCCCCGAGTTGTAAGCATCTGTGAGCCAAAATGGTTAAAGCGTAAACTTTGGAATCAAACAGGCTCAAGCTGGTGTCTTGCTCCGCCCGTACCAGCTGTATGATCTCTGGCCCTCTCGGAGCATCGGTTTCCTCATCTGTAACAAGGGGATCCGCTTTATACCTGCCCCAGAGCTGCTGTGAGACAACACGAGGCAGGCCTTGGCGTCCTGCGGGCCTCGTTCCCATGGCTGTTGCAGTAACGAGTGCCACCGCCCACGGGTCTCTATCACCAGTACAGCTGAGCTGTATCCCTCTGCCTCTGCTCAGCGCCCACGGTCAGCTCTGGGTGCCGGTCTAATTAGCTCCATCTCGTTGGTGAGCATGCTCACAGACTCTGACACGACTGTCACCTCCCACGCACTTATCCCCTCTGCTGGGCACAGGTCTGAGTGCCACCAGAGGACAGGCTTAGCCCTCAAAACCTCTGCTTTGTCACATGGAATCAAAGCCTTTTCCTTCACTCCCGGGCTGTATCAAAAGAAAAGTTTGAAGGGGAAGAAATGCTGTCTCTTGCATTTGCTGAGAAATCCCTTCCCCCTGATCTCATAACCCGCAAGGGAGAAAGGCAGCCTGTTTCTTTAAGAGGCCTCCGCTAGCGGGGCGGGGACCGCCGGCGTTTCCCGCGACAGCTGAGCCCACCCTTTCTTGACTGACAAGCAAACAACCTAATTGAAGAGAGAGAGATCATCGTGACGGCGAAGCGGAGCAATAGAAACCCGGGTTGGCCCGCGCTGGGCGGGGTCTCGGGAAGGCGGGGCGGGCGGAGGCTGGAGGAGCCGCGGCGGCGAGAGCCCAGCGCGGGAGCAGGGCCTAGGTCCGCGCCCAGGTGAGTAACGAGCGCGGGCAGTCGGGTGGTGGCGGGCTGCGGAGAAGGGCCTGACCCTAAGGACGCAGCGAGGAGAAGCGAGGTCGAGCTAGGAAGGGGGCCGGGGCTGCTGTGTGCTTCTGCCCTGGGGGCTGAGGGGCTGGAGAGGGCGGGCCTGGGCGGCACTGCGCGGGTTCGGCAGGCCCCCGAGGGGTCGTGGCCCAGCTGAGTCTGCCCGGCCCGAGGGGGCCCCAGTTCCTGACCAGGAAGGGGAGTCGCGTGCGAGAGAGGGCGGGCCAGGCCTTGAGCAGCGGGGGCTGCGTCGCCCGAGGGAGGAGGAGGAGGAGGAGGAGGGAGTCCGGGGGCGCGACGGGAAGGTGCGGGGCGAGGAGAGGGGCAGGATGGGGGAGGGCTCAGGAGGAACCTGGAGAGTGCTTGCGGCTGGGTGGCACAAGTTCGAAGCCTGGGAGTTTTTCATGACACCCCGCGACACACACAGACACTGCTCATCACCCCGCCCGCCAGTCGGGCCGGCCCAGTAGCCCGCATCCCGTCCACTTTGCATCTTTTCGCCTCCCTCTCAGTTCAGGCCTCGCATCTGGACTGTTCCAGCGCCCAGCGGACCCGCTCCCCTGCACTCGGGCCGCTCTCTCGTGGGCCTCGGCCGTGGCCAAAGGGCTCTTTTCAAAATGCAGATCAGATCCGGACCCTCTGCTAATTAAAGCTGGCGGGCTTCCCACCTCTTGTAGGGTCAGCCCAGATCCTCATCCAAGCCCTGGAGATCTGGCCCCTCTGACCTTTCCCTCCTTCCAGTCCATGAATCCCTCTTGCTCAGTCCTCTCCTCACACTGCAAATCCAGCCCTGGCTGCCCTCGGGGTCTTTACCCTGAAGACCTCCTTCCCCCTGGGCCTCTCTTCTCACCCGACTTCTCCAGTCAACTCTCCATCCTTCAGCTCTCCATTCAAGTATCACTTCCTCCAGAGGCATCTGCGTCCCTGACTCCCCCACTGGGTGAATTCCCCACTTTCATCACCCCGTGTACTTCTCCTTCACCACACTTGCACAGCTGCAGTTTTACTTTAATTTAGGAAAGTACTAATGTCTGCCTGGCCCACCAGACAATAAGGTCCACAAGGGCAAAGTGTCTGCTGTTGCTCCTTGTACCTCCAGCATCTTGCACAGGGCCAGGCACTGTGAATATTCATTTAAAAAATGAATGGAGGACCTGGCTTTGGCAGGAGGCAGGGTGTGGTCCCCCCCCCCCCATGTCCTACCAGTGGGGGGAGGAAACCAATAATGGAATACTTTTCTGTGCCACGCTCTGCGCTACAGCAGTGCTGTCCAGTAGAAATACGATGCAGTATATGTAATTTAAAATTTTTTAGTAGCCACGTTAAAAAGAAACAGGTGAAATTAATTTTTGTAGTATGTATTTACTTAACCTAATATTATCCAAATTATTATTTTTCCACTGAATTTTACATGGAGTAGAAGAGAAGGAGGGAGGAAGGGAGGGAGAGAGAGAGAGAGAAACATCAATGTGAGAAAGACACATCGATTAGTTACCTCCCAAACATCCCTGACCGGGCTGGGGATGGAACCTGCAACCCAGGTACATGCCCCTGATGAGGAATCAAACCCATGACCCTTTGGTCCGAGGGCTGACGCTCTAACCACTGAGTCATATCAGCCAGGGCATTCCAAAATATTATTTTGACATGTAATCAATATAAAAACATTATTAATGAGGTATGTCACATTTTTGTGTGTGTACTGTCTTTAAAATCTGGTGTGTTTTACACATATAGCCCATCTCAGTATGTGGCAACCATATTGCAAATGCTCGGTAGCCACAGGCGCGAGGGGCTGCTGTGTTGGGCTGTGCAGTGCTAGGAGCGTTATATACCTGTGGCATTTTATCCCCTTTAGAGTCTTTTGAGGAAATTATTGTTATCTGCACTTTAGTAGTAAAAATAATGCAGCTCCTAAAAGTCACCTTGCCTGCCAGCAATCGTCCTAGATGTTGTGAGTGGAGGAAGCAAGATTAGGACTGGGACCCCCATCTGTTAGTATGGAGTCTTTCTATACCCCTTCTGCCTGTAGGAGGTGCCAAGGAAGTTTAGGGGTGCAGGAAGTGGGAACGAAACATTGGAAACAGTGGTACTGTGGGTATATTGCACATTCTATCTCGTTCCATGCAGAGATAATGTGTCTGGATACCTTAGTACCACCTGCCTAAGTGGCTCAGCAACAAGTGTATTTGATGCAGTTGAAGGAAACACCTGCCTTCTTTGACCCAGTCCCTGTACCTCAGTGCAGCCTGCACCAACTCAGCCTGGTCCCAGGATCTGGGTAGAACAATGTACGCACCCTGCAGTACCTCAAAGGTGCGGGGAGTGCTAGGCTTGAGTTAACAGTCTGGTCCTTCAGTTCAGTAATTGCTCATTGAGTGAGGCTCTCGGTGCTGTGAGGCCAGCACGGTTCTAGGCCATTTAGGGTGACTGGGGAGTATAAGTCACAGCCTTCGTCTTCAAGATGCTTATCGTGTACTTGGGAAGACAAGACTAGATTACAGAATGATTAGATGCTGTGCAAGACACCAAGGTGTGTGATGAAGAACTAGAATCAGTGGTGTGCAGAGACTGCAAAGTGGTTGTCTAAGCCAAGCTGTGTAATGTGTGTGAAAGTGTTTAATTTTAATTCTTTAGGCAGGATGAGCACTTTGTGGTTTGCCACAGTCCCTACATAGGTGCTACTTGACGTATTTACTTACCTGCCTGGCTGCTTAAGGCATCTGAATTTGTAACCCCATTAGACATGCTGGTTTTCCTTGAGTTACTAGAAGAGATTTGTTGAGCACCTGTTGGCCACAGCTCTCTAACTGACTTAAACTCTCCAAGGTTATTCTGCTAGAAGAAAAGAATAATAATGATAATAATAATAGAACAACACCACCAGCAGTGCTTTGCCTCTTGTATTGATTTTCCTCCCTTTCACATATCTTCTCTCATTTTGTCATCATTATACTTCAGCCTGGCAAATAGGGCTCTTTGATGCTGGGGAAACATGGTTACAGTGTTTTTGCAATTTCAATTTCACACAGTTGGAATTCTGCTTATTCTGTGTCAGGTATTATGTTTAAATAGTTTACCTATGTTATCCCACTTAATGTTTACAACAACTTTATAGAGTAGGATTGATGCTAATCCCCATTTTGTAGATAAGCACATTCATTGTTAGAGCTGGGACCCAAATCCAGGTTTGTCCCACTCCAAAACACATGCTTCTAACTGCTAAGCTATACTGTCTCACTAGAAGGTCAGGTAGGAAGAGATGTCAGAAACATCAAGTGCAATCCCGTCACGTAGATCAGGACCTGAGGTCCAGCGAGGCTTGTGCTTGTAAGCAGTCAGGTCTCCTGTGCCCCAGTGGGGAGGACTAACCCAGAAGTGGAGGCCTACGCCTTCTTTTGTCCCTAACTGGTAGTGTAGCCTTGCCAGTTCTCTGGACCTCAGTTCCCTTATTTATAAAACGAGAGGGCTTGGCCTGATTTAACAAAAACAATGCTGTGTTGTTAGGGTTGATATTGAAGGAGTCAGGCTCACAGCCCGGATTTCAGTCCTAACCCAGGACTCTTAACTCCCCACACTCTCTCCTTACAGCTCTGCCTCCTGGTTGCAACCATGGTAGAAGGGAAACAGTCTCTTAAAGGTCATCTGATTTTCCACCTCAGTTTCTGTTTCCTTTGATTTCTAAAAACTGAAGCAAGTGATCTGTAGACACTGACCCCTTCTAAATCTTTTTCCGCAGTTATGATAGGGTTTTGCAGAGTTCCAGGCAATGGATAATCCTCTGTTATTGATGTTTTTATTTTATTTTAAAGGAGTTAGGTCTAGGGGCGTCCTGGAGGGTATTTTTGGTATGGAAATCTTCGGGCACAGCTGTTTACTGGGCACTGTGCTGTGGCTTTGGGGGAGTAGACACGGGTTTGATGAGTTCCTGTCTTCAAATTGCTGACCATCCTGGAGCTGTGGCTCTCAACCCTGGCACCCATTAGACTCACCTGGGAGAGTGTCTCAGGACTGTGGAGTGGGCTTGAACCCCTGGTCGAGAGCTGCTTGTCTGATGTTGAAGTGCATGTGAACCCCCCAGGGGACCTGTTTGAAGGCAGATTCTGAGGCAGTGGATGATTCTGCGTTCCTGTGGGCTCCCAAGCAGTGCTGATGCTGCTGGTGTGCAAATCATACTGTGAGTAGCAGGAGAAGACACTGCCCGTAGAGAACTCACAGTCAGTGGGATTGTGAAGGTCTGTATAAAAGACTCGGGGCGCAGATGAGGGCACAGGGTGACAGACTAGGAATACACTTAGATGAGTGATTATCTGAGCTGGGTCTTGAAGGATGAGTAGGAGTTTATCAGCTGAACATGGTGAAGGGAAGCAAAAGTCCAGACTTAGAGGAGCATGGTGTTTGAGGGAACAAAGTAGCCTGCTTGACAGATGTAACATCTACAAGGAAGAGGCTGAAAGCCACAGGGAACTGGAGTGAGCCAAATGCCCTGCTGAGGGGTGTAAGCGTAGGACTATTCTGTAAGTATAGGACTATTCTATTCTGTGTGTACAGGACTGTTGTGGTAGGTTTCTAAGCAGCATAAGGGAGACCTAGGCGATTCTTAGGGTAGGTGTTAAGCGGAAGAAGCCCAAACAGTTACCCTGTTCCACACCCTTCCTCACCACACTTTGTCTTTATCTAACTTAGTGGCTTTTAACCACGTATTTGAGTAAGTCCTGTGTCCAACACATTTCAACAAAAGAAGAAACCTCAGCTGTTTCTCAGCATTTCTAGCAGTGAATGTCAGAACATGAATCCTTGCCCACCGAATTCCCCTCCCCTCTTCCTCAGAGCCTCATCATCATTCAGTGGTTGGAACTAAGGGAAGTTGAGTCACTTCTCAGATGAGAAGATCTGAGGGAGAAGCCTCTACTGAGATTGCACTCTTGATTAGAATGATGGTGTGACCC